TTCTCCGAACATCCCGCGTGGGTTATCACGCCGGTAAACCCATAGAAAGTGTGGTCTATTGCTTAAGTAAACTGCTATGATGCAGAATTCTGCTTTATCAGTTTCTTAAGTAGAAGTAAGTAGAAGACTGATTTCGAGCGAAAAAAATCTTGCATAGAAACGCCTGCCTTACAATGTTTTTGTATGTCAGGGGAAAACGTTTTACCACCAGTTGTTTGGGAAAAAATTCTTGCGCAAACCAAATCACCAATTCCCCCCCCCTTCTCAAAAGTCAAATGAACGGCCTCTTATTAAGACTTTCACAAAGCCCGTTCCCAGTTTCTTGTGGTTAGGTATCAATCGCGAATCGCATTCGCTCGCTTCGCGCGCGTCCCTTGTGCCGCCGGCGCCCACGCAGCGACTTGTGGCAAGTGTAGAGTTTATTGTGAGTTGCAGCGTTGTTATTTCCCACTATACAGTGGCGAGCCCTCTTACAATAGAACGCCCTGGATGGCTGACTTCTGCTTAGGAATTGGTGGTTATCTCTGGTATCAATATAGATACAAATAGAATAGTTAGCGGAATGGTGAAATCCTTGGAAAAGCCGCGATCATGGGCGTACGGGAAATGTTTCGCCGGGGGTGGGGGGGGGGGGGTATACTATTTGCCCAAAAAAATCTCGCAAGTTGCTCAAATTTTTACGAAAGAGTCGAAAAGAAACGAGAGCCACACTGCAACAACATAGGCCGTACTGACATATGAAGGTGGCTCGATACATTTAATTTCAGGGTCAATACCAAGTTTGAGCATAAACTTCGACGCCATAAACGCATATTTGGAAAAATTGTCACCACAGTTGTATTAAGAGCGACGGTCAGGAAATAGCGACCATCGAGTGGCAAGAGTTGAAAAATCGATTTCCTTAATTTTTTTTTGTATAAATAGCTTTTAGGTAGATAAGTAATCTGATGTAAGTTGTTCTCGCAAAAGCCTTTTATTTTCGAGAAAAGTAAGAATATTAGTTTTCGTGGTCGGAGTCTCAAAATGGCCGTATTTTCAACCCGAAATTTGCTAACATCAACTACCCTCGCGTTCGCAAATAAAGGCGCAAGGAGAAATTTGGACACTTTCCATCAACAGAACAACTCTTCTTCTTTCACTAGAAGATACTTTCAAGGCAATATCAAGACTCGTTGAACTGATATAATTCAAAAACGAACAACAGGTTTTTACGGTGACAAAAACTTTTTTTTTAGTAGTTGTTTTCAGCGGCATTATTTTTCCTGTGGTATAGGTCCAAATTTTCCCAGTCCTCCTTTATTCACACATTTAGACATTCATCTAAAACATACCTGAGAATTGGCTTGGGTTCCTGAAGGCAGCCTCCAAACGAAAGCATCGAAGTCCGATAAATATAGTGAAGCGTGACCAAAATAACTTATTTAACGCACCAAGTTTCCTCTATCGTAAAGTAACAAGAAGAAATATCTTCCTGTTCCCTCATCCTTAGCGAATTATTTACCATTGTTAACGTCCTTATTTTTCGATAAAAAGTGAGTACCAGAATACTAGCGCGTTTGATAACTAACTGTCGGCATCGATAATGTTACTCTTTCAAGAATTGCGTTGCGTTACTGCCTTGATTCCGTGGCTGTCATTTTGACGGCTCCGTCTCTTCAAATGTATGTTATGTCACGTGCAGTCACGGGACAGATTGTCACGCAAAGTCGCCAGTTGGTAGAGTTCAGTGTTTCAAACTGGTTAAAATTGACCCAGTTTCACCTTTTCACCCCACTCTTTGGTTGAAAAAAGCAACTTTGCAATGGGAAAACCCACAAGAAGTACGAAAAACGAGCCTTTAGGCTGTAAATATCTACTTTTGTGCGTTTCGAAATTGGAAGGGTTTACACAAATACCGCCGGCCTACAATGAAAATTCCTGAACTTCGAAGGTGTCTTACAGAGATTTCCTTTAATGACCCAAGCCAATTCCCAGGTATGTTTTAAATGAATGTCTAAGTGTGAGATTTAGATAGCATGAAGAGAATTTGGAGTTATACCACATGTTAAATATTGCTCTCGAAAATGAGTAAGGAACTTTTAATTATTTCTGTACGACAAGCTTCGCTATTGCCCTGAAAGTATCTGTTAGTGGAAGAAGAGGAATTTTTCTGTTCATTGAAAGTGTCCAAATTTCTCCATGCGGCTTCGTTCGCGAACGCGAGGAAAGTTGATTTTAGCGAATTTCAGGTTAAAAGTTAGGGCAGTCTGAGACTCCGACATCGAAAACCGATCTTCTAATTTTTCTCTCAAATAAAAGGCTTTTGGCAGGAACAATCTACATTAGGTTTCTTATCTACCTAACAGCTATCTATGAACACAAAATGAAAGAAACTGATTTTCAACTCTTGCCACGAAATTAAGGTTTTGGTCGATTTTTCCTGACCGTCGCTCTTAAGACGGAAAATTTGTCATGATCAGAGTTGCAATGACATCGGGGTTGTCATAGCAACGTAATGACGCCGTTAGCTATTTTACTTCAGCAATAATTTTCGGCACTGGGAACCTTACAAAATCGTTCACAGGAGCTTTTTTCTCCAACACTGACGCCTCGATGTTCGTAAAGTTTAAGCAAAATCTGTGAGAGCGTTATCGAGATATTTTGGGATGAAGTTTTATCGTTAGAAATACGGTAAGAAAAGAAAAATGGTGATGTTTGGCCGTTATCTGTAGAAAACAAAGCGCTTTTGACATGCAATTTCACCTCATAATAGTTTTAAACCTTTTAAAAACGTGTGTGAAAGATCGTGGAGATAGCTCTACCCGATTGCTAGAAAGAAGGATTTGATTAGTATGTATCCTGTTTTGATTAGTATGTATCCTTTCATGGAAATTTCATATAGATTACGTTTGTCAAAAAGTCAGTAAAACAATCGGAATTATCGCCAAGCACGGACATTTTGTTCCCCGTCATGTACTTCTCACTTTATACCGCTCTTTAATTTTGCCTTATATCAGTTATGGTATCTGTGCGTGGGGTCATGCTGCTGAAACGCATCTTCATAAACTACTGGTTCTCCAGAAGAGAGCCCTGAGGCTAATGTTCTTCGCTGAACCAAGAACTCATGCAGTTCCGTTGTTTTTAGAAACAAAACAGTTGCCGATATCGTTCTTGCTATTTGAGCAAATGAGCCTTTTAATGTACGACGTCCATAATAATCTCGCTCCTCCTCCTTGTTGTTGTTGTTGTGTATCGAGGCGCTCTTGTTAGCAGTTTTGTAAACATTTCGGTCTACTTTAACAAATTAGTGAATAATTTTAAACCTATTTTTTAAAAGAATTAAGATCATAGGCGTACGGGCTGGGGGCGAGGGGCTGCAGCCCCCCCAAATTTTGGGCAACTCAGAGTTTTTGGGCAGCACGAGAAAATTTGGGCAAAACGAGTTTTTAAAGACGTCTGCATGTTTTTATTTTTATTTTGAAGAGATAAATATTTTCTATTTTAACCTGAAGTCAGCGTAATAATCCAGTTACATTGACACGAGACAGTGGCTGCATAGCACGTGACGAGTTTCTGCATGGTTATAAGGGATATAAGGTATCATATGCTGATTTTTTTATTGTTGGGCACTGTACTGCAATGGGCTATTTCCACTCGTGAATTTATTAGAATGAAGTTCCGGCTAACTTTCTAGAATCATCTCCGCTCGTAGAACAGTGTATGGCAGATAGCATCAGCAATGGGTCTGAAAGTGAAGAAGTGGCTGACTAATTCTCAGTTTGAATTACGAGAAGAACCTTATTTTTTTGAAAAGATCTATCAAGCGGTTTAAAACTTATTCACTAATTTGTTAAAGTAGACCGAAATGTTTACAAAACCGCTAACAAGAGCGCCATGATACATGCTAATGAAACCCTTCTTTGTAGCAATTGGCCGCAGCTATCTCCATGATCTTTCAACCACTTTTTTTAAAAGATTGAAACTACTATGAGGTGAAATTGCATGTCAAAAGCGCATCGTTTTCTACAGATAACATTTTCCTTTTTTTTCCTTATTTCCAACGATAATAACTTTATCCCAAAATATCTCGATAACGCTCTTACAATTCCGTTTTAACTTCACGAACATCGAGGCGACTATTGGAGGAAAAAGCTCCCGTGATCGATTTTGGAAGAACACTTCCCACGTGTAAATATTGCTGCAAGCATAATAGGTAATGGCTTCATTTCATTGCTATGACAACTCCGATGTCATTGCAACCCTGATCACAACAAATTTTCATCTTTATCTAATACAATTGTGGTGGCAATTGTTCCAAATGTTTGTTTATGACGATGTAGTTTATGCTCAAACTTGGCAGGTATTGACTCTGAAAAACTGTATTGGGCCATTTTCATATGCCAGAACGGCCTATGTTGTTGCATCGGCCCTCATTTCTGTTCGACTGTTTTGTAAAAATTTGAGCAACTTGCAAAAATTTTTTGGGCACTAATGGTTTACCGCCCCCCCTGGCGAAAAATAGCCCGTACGCCTATGATTAAGATTCCTCTCGTAATTCAAACTGAGTCAGCCTTTTCTTCATTTTCAGACCCACTGCTAATGCTATCTGTCATACACCGTTCTTCGAGTATTCTAATCAATTTACGACCGGAAATAGCCCACTCCAGCTAGTGCAGTGCAGTACAGTGCCCAACAATTAAAAACTATAAATATGTAAATTACTCATCACATGCTAGGCAACCACTGTCCCGTGTGAATGTAACTGGATTATTACGCCGACTTCAAGTTAATACTCAGGTCTTCAAAATAATTAAATAAGCATGGAGACGTCTTTAAAAACTGGCTTTGCCCAAATTTTCTCTTGCTGCCCAAAAAATCTGAGTTGCCCAAAAATTGGGGGCGTACGCCTATGACCGCGATTAATAGGCTCAGAAGAGAGGGTTGCCTGTTATGACGTAACAGACAACCCGGTGTTAGGCAAGTAGAGTGAAGGATTTACTCAATGATTAAAGGATCTGTTTTTGAAACAGGCGTCAAGAGGGCCTCTACACAAGGCTGCTATCAGTGGACAATATGAGACGGTCAAAATGCTTCTTGAAAGTGGTGAAGATGTGGATCAAAGAGATCAGGTTTTAGTCATCTTCTTGTAACTTTATTTTTTAGCCGGAGCTCTTGCCTTCACTTCGTTCATGGATTCTCGAATTCTTTTCCGGTTTTGGCTGTGAAGGATTGAGGTTTCGCTAAGGCTTCTGCGTGGAGTCATATAGCAGCTGCTCGGTAGAGAGGTCGCCAATGAAGCGTTTCCCTGACCCCAAACAATTCTCTAACAATTGAAAGAATGACATGTCATTGTTTCCTGCGACCAATCAGAAGCCATCTCTCTTCCGAGCAGCTGCTACACTACCCTCCGCGCAGGGTGGTTTGAGAGGGTGGGAAGGAGAATTGGAAAAGAGAGCGTACACGAAAGCTTTTGATTGGTTTGTCACGACAGGTACCATTATTGCCAAATGACAGTTATGAACGGATGTATCTTCGGATTCTCTTTCATTACCTGTATCCTTAAACTAGGCTCGAAACATTCCTCTCGAGAAGACTTAACTAAAACAGGGAACGACCTCGGGGGACAGAAAAAAAGGAAAAAATTAGACTCAAACATTGCTTCCATATTTCATTTTGCAGTTCTCCTCCCCATCTTTCGTTTTACTAAAGATTTTGGGCAATTTTTATTTGGTTCTGCGTATGAAGAACGTGATATTAAAGTTTGCAACTTTGTAACTTTTGAATTTGATTTGTTTGAACCCAAATGCCTAAACTGAGGCTTGCCTAAAAAAGGTAGAAAAGGGGTCGCGTGGGTGATTCGATGGGGCTGATTCTTGACACTGACAGTCATTCTGACAACTTCTGCGCTATTCAAAAAAAAAGGTCTAATTACGACTTCCACACAGATTATTGAAACATCGGTTACTTTCCCCAACAATCCTGTTCAGAACTACAACCACCCGGACGGTCACTTTCAGTCCACTTAAATATAAATTTGTGTTATTTAAAAGTTATAGAGTTTTAGATTTTGTTTGAACTTGTAAGACCTTTTTCTTCCCTGCTCTTTAAACCTTATCTAACTACGTTGTACTTTTTTGGTAGTTTTCTTTGACTCCTCTACATCTTGCCTGTTGGTACGGACAGAAAACTGTTGTCGATCTGTTGTTGAAACATGGTGCAAACGTCAACGCTGAAGACAAGGTGACTTAGTGATTTTGTTTAACTTAAACAATTATTTATTGCCGTAAGGAAGGCCTGGCAAAAGAAAGTTTTTGTTTGCCTAGTATTATTCACTAAGAATCTAATTTGGTACTTAGTAAGTGGCAAGTAACACGTACTTGTTCTGCTTAATTTTTTTTTTTAGTTTCAACGTACACCTCTGCAAAAAGCTGAACGACAAGAACACCACTCCATAGTGCAGTTGCTGTTGAAAAATGATGCCAAGCCAAGTCTTCATCAACCAGTAAGATATCAGATTGTATATGTATGTCCTTCTTATCGATCGAACTTTCTATCAGACGAAGGTCTCTCTACGGATTATGTTACAGTAGAACCTATACGTAATCGGATGAAATTTTTCTTCGCTGCTATTTCAGATACCTTACATTTCTTCTTGTCTGCACTAACATTAAGTTTATAAAGTCGGTTGCGTCCGTCTGGACATCATTGTACTGTTGAACCTCCATTAAGCCGCCACCAGCGGGGTACTGGGAAGTGGCCACTTAACGGAGACTGGCCGCTCAACAGAGGTTCGTCACATGTTAGCAGACTCTTTAGCAGAAACATAACTTTATTTACACGCGATTGAAGCAGCAATACTGGTCCACAATCAGTTGTCACATGATATCTCGGACTGTATCATCCTTCATCAATTTTTTTAAAAAAAATTGTGAAGCCAAACTATCAAGTATCAAGCGCAAAATGGTGGCCGCAGTCACTTTTCTACAATTACTTCAAGACTTTGATTACTGGTCGCTAGGTTCAACTGTACATTTCATTTCTGAGTAATTATTGACGCTTACCGAATTTATTCGGATGATAAATGTCTATTGTTATGGTGCTGCTACTTGTACAAAAAAAGCGCTTTAATAATGCTTTTTCTGACGGTATCCTGTGCTATTGAAGTCGTTGGTACAGGAACCCGCAAGCGTTTTCCAAATTTGGTTAACGTTTGCTGATTAGCTGGGGGATTTGAGCCAATCAGAAATGGAGATTTATTCTGAATGAATAATAATTAACAGTTATGAGGCTGAGTGTCATCAGAAGGATTATGGAGATCGAGGAGGGTGTTATCCGCCGAGGCCGATTAGTGTAACCCCGTTGATCGATTATGTGCATCTATAATTCGATGTAACAATACTGTAAATAATTATCTCCTTACAGGTCAGTCTGAAAAAAATCTCTAGAAAAGCTTTCCTGCAAGTGGATGAAAAATCTGGATTTAATATGCTCCAGGCGGCTGTCTTAGAGGGAAAATATGACATTGTTTTAAAAGCTACTGGCCTTCTTGAGAACTTTTTAGAACAGATGGAATATACAAAAACTGGAAATAACGCCAAAGGATTTCCAGATAAAAGTGCAATTGACATCCTATCATTTGTGAAGGGAACAAAATCAGATCATTATAGTATCGAAAGACTTTATAAAACATTGGCTGAGAACAACAGCAGACTAACTGAGTCGCAGTGGGGTACATGCAATGATGATGCGGAACAAGCACTTGAACTTGTATTAAATGACAGTGTAGATATTAATGCCTCAGGATCAGACAATGATTGGACAGCTTTGCTGAGGGCGAGTCGTTCATCCTCAAGTCAGTTCATTGAGACCCTCATTGATCTTGGGGCCGACGTTAATGCCCAAAGGAGAGTAAGCAAAGAAACACCACTAATGTTAGCAGCTGACTGGAACAACTACATGGCAGCTTGCTTAATTGTAAGGCATGGAGCTGATGTTAATGTCAAATTTAGTAATGGGTTTACGCCACTGCACGCTTCTGTCAATGCAGGTAATGAAAACATCGCCGGATTGTTACTTAAACAGAACACAAATGTAAATATTCAAGATAAAGATGGATATACACCCTTGTACTGGTGTGCCTTTGAGGGGAGCGAAAGCCTCCGTAGATTGTTACTTGAACATAACGCGGATGTAAATATTCAAGATAGATGGGGATATACACCCTTGCACGATTGTGCCTTAGAGGATAACGAAAACCTCTTGAGATTGTTACTTGAACACAACGCGGATGTAAATATTCAAGATAAAGATGGATACACACCCTTGCACCGGTGTGCCTTAAAAGGCAACGAAAACATCTGTAGATTGTTACTTGAACACAACGCGAATGTAAATATTCAAGATAATTATGGATATACACCCTTGCACTGGTTTGCCTTTGAGGGGAACGAAAACCTCAGTAGACTCTTACTTGAACAGAACGCAGAAGTAAATATTCGACATAATGATGGATGTACAATCTTGCTCTGGTGTGCCAGAGAGGGTAACGAAAACCTCTGTAGATTGTTACTTGAACACAACGCGGATGTAAATATTCAAGATAATGATGGAGTTACACCCTTGCACTGGAGTGCTAGACAGGGTAACGAAAACCTCTGTAGATTATTACTTAAACACAACGGAGAAGTAAATATTCAAGATAATGATGGATGTACACCCTTGCACTGGTGTGCCTTAAAAGGGAACGAAAACATCTGTAGATTGTTACTTGAACACAACGCGGATATAAATATTAAAGATAATGATGGATATACACCCTTGCACTGGTTTGCCGTAGAGGGGAACGAAAACCTCAGTAGACTGTTACTTGAGCACAACGCGAATGTAAATATTCAAGATAATGATAGAGTTGCACCCTTGCACTGGAGTGCTAGAAAGGGCAACGAAAACCTCAGTAGGCTGTTACTTGAGCACAACGTGGATGTAAATATTCAAGATGATGATGGAGTTACACCCTTGCACTGGAGTGCTAGAAAGGGTAACGAAAACCTCAGTAGACTGTTACTTGAACACAACGCGGATGTAAATATTCAAGATACATGGGGATATACACCCTTGCACTTGTGTGCCAGAAAGGGTAACGAAAACCTCAGTAGACTGTTACTTGAGCACAACGTGGATGTAAATATTCAAGATAATGATGGAGTTACACCCTTGCACTGGAGTGCTAGAAAGGGTAACGAAAACCTCAGTAGACTGTTACTTGAACACAACGCGGATGTAAATATTCAAGATACATGGGGATATACACCCTTGCACTTGTGTGCCAGAAAGGGTAACGAAAACCTCAGTAGACTGTTACTTGAGCACAACGCGGATGTAAATATTCAAGATGGTGATGGAGTTACACCCTTGCACTGGAGTGCTAGAAAGGGTAACGAAAACCTCAGTAGACTGTTACTTGAACACAACGCGGATGTAAATATTCAAGATACATGGGGATATACACCCTTGCACTTGTGTGCCAGAAAGGGTAACGAAAACCTCAGTAGACTGTTACTTGAGCACAACGCGGATGTAAATATTCAAGATGGTGATGGAGTTACACCCTTGCACTGGAGTGCTAGAAAGGGTAACGAAAACCTCAGTAGACTGTTACTTGAGCACAACGCGGATGTAAATATTCAAGATGGTGATGGAGGTACACCCTTGCAGAGGAGTGCTAGAAAGGGTAACGAAAACCTCAGTAGACTTTTACTTGAACACAACGCGGATGTAAATATTCAAGATGATGATGGAGTTACACCCTTGTACTGGAGTGCTAGAAAGGGTAACGAAAACCTCAGTAGACTGTTACTTGAGCACAACGCGGATGTAAATATTCAAGATACATGGGGATATACACCCTTGCACTTGTGTGCCAGAAAGGGTAACGAAAACCTCAGTAGACTGTTACTTGAGCACAACGCGGATGCAAATATTCAAGGTTACGATGGACGTACACCGCTGCACCTGTCAGCTCGTGGAAACAATGATTGCAGTAAGATAATCGATCTCCTGCTGAAGTATGGCGTTCAAAACATAAACATCCATGACGCAGACGGTTTGTCTCCTCTTCAATTGGCCGTGAGACATGGTAACTCACAGGCCGTAAAGAAGCTTGTTGACCTTGGAGCTGATATTAGTGTGGTTGCAGCTGATGAAAAGGATGCCAGAAGACTGGAACTCTTGAAGAATAAAGCGGAGAGGAAAAAGCAACATCTTAAGTTTGAAATAAGCTCTGCGCAAAAAACTAACGAAACAGGAAATGCACCTGGTGGCAGTTCTGTTCCAGGTACAGGAAAGCTCACAGAGGCTTATCTCGAATCAAAGAAAACACTGAGGCAATCTTCTTCGTATACAACAAAGGAAATAGAGGACGAACCGGAAGCTGCACAACCGTCGACAGTTACAAGAGGGAACCCCAAGTAAAAGGCGACTTCATCCTCAAGAATTAGTAAATGTTTAATGTCTAATTTAGCCTTTTTGCTTTCAAAATGAAAAAGGGCCAGTTTTTTTCTAGCCTGAATTTCAGACGTAACGTCGAGCCGATTTTACCCCCTCATTAACGTCGTTGTTAAGAGGAGAATACGCTAAGCTGTTTCATCAGTTAAAGAGAAGATTGTGCTCTTATTAAGCTGACGTTAACCTAGTTTGTACAAAATGGATGACAATCATAGCGAGAGTAACTGTAATCCTCACCTATTTTACTATCATTTTATACTTACAACATTCTCCCACACACGCCCGCTACTCTTTTACCCACTTATTCTATCAGTGGAGGGGAGCTCATGTATTCCCAAAACCCGGAAAGCCACAAAGATTCATATTATGGCGCGCCGTTTGTTTCAAAATTAATTTTTTTAAATTGGTTATAAATTTTTAATCTTTTTCTGTTCTGAATCATGTCAGAGATATAAGCGCTTAAAATCAGAAAGAAGGACTCCTTGATCTTTTCATTATTGCTTTTTCGTCGTCATCATTAAGAACACTCTCTTAATAGTTTACTATTAACTCCAATCAATCAGTTTTGCTGATCGGAGTTACCGACCAGTTATCGATCAATTAAAATAATATTATATTGTGCTAATTTTTAGCGTCTCTCCCTAGTCTCTCTCTCTGTTTTCAGCCTCGTTCCAGACCTTTTGTTTGACTGCTCGCGCGTACTTGAATACGCAAAATGCAGGCTAAGTTGTTATATGATCGATCGGTTGGGCGTATTTTCATTGAGTTGTGACTAAAATCGATTAGTTGTTACATGATCGATCAGTTGTGCGTATTTTTATATAGCCGGGGTCGACTATTCGATGGGTTGAGATATTGCCATGAAAACTTTCTGCAATATCTTCACCCCATTTACGTGATGCGTGATGGTTTTAAAAAAGTCAGCGTCATGTGTGATAGATTCCCCCCTTTTGCCACCCTGATCAATCGCATTCCGTTATTTCCACGGCGAATGAAAAAAGAGAAAAAAAACCGACACAGATACAAGCGGCATTTTCGATAAATATAGCTGGGGCAGCAAAAATGCATTATTTCTATCACGAATTCTTTTTTTAGAACCGAAAAACAAGAAACTTACTTCTCAGCTCTGCATATACACGTGGTCATAGACGTAACAATCTGGTCAGTTACCAGAGTGTGACAACTAAGACCTAAGACCCGTCTTAGTTTTCGAGATTACGAAAACTAAGACCCCCTAAAATCAAATCCGTCGAAATATGAAGTCAAATTGTAATCGAAATAGGTCTGATCTGTCATATTATCTCTCCGATTCTTTGCACCGAGTTTTAGGTCGAATTTAACGGTAAATTTAGGGGTCTTAGTTTTCGTAATTTCGAAAACAAACATGTCCAATATACACAAACGGATACGATTCGTCAAGCTGATGGTCCATTGGTACCAATGGTAGCATTGGTACCAATAGAAAAGGATGTCATTCCAATGGTTCTATTGGTGAATATGCATCTCATTAAGGGGACTTAGATTATTTTCTGATGTGGTCTAGCTGGGTACAGGGCAATTCCGATGGTCCATTGGTACCAATGGTACGATTGGTACGAATAGAAAATGATGCCATTCCAATAGTTTTCGTTATTACGAAAACTAAGACCACCTAAAAAAACAATCCGTAAAATATATATGAAGTCGAATTACGACCGTTTAAATACTATAATCCGTAAAACAACCAAAAACTGTCATCCGCGAGCTGACGATCCGCTTCTTTTAATTATTTGCAGAAAACAGAGCATGAAAGCCATTACCTGTGTATAATTGTACACTGAAAATATGCCTACCTCGTCGACTGGTCTCTAATTTTAGTTGTTTATCCTTAAAAATCGTAAAATTGGCTTTCCACTGCAGATGGATTTTTGCCTTCGTTGCCCGCTGACATGTTGCTGAGACCCTGAATGCGTTACCGGAATCATAAATCAAGTGGTTAATTATCGGTTAAACATATCGCTGTCACCCTGGAGATCACCGGAAACAAGTGAAAAGTTGCAATGTAAGGGGTAGTTGAGGGGTAGGTTGGAGGCAAGGAGAAATAGTCTGTGAGGAATACTGGCTAAAAACACTTATTTAATAACCATGAATGAATGAATGAATAAGTTTCCTGTACTAGCAAGGTATCATCTCGAAAATTTTGCTTTTTAATTTCAGAAAAAATAAAATAAACAAACATACAAAAGGGTGATTTTTAGGTAACGCAATCACGGTCGCAGAGACACGAAGGCAAAAATCCATCTCTAGCACGTGGAAAGCCAATTTTACGATTTTTAAGGATAAACCAAAATTATAGACCAATTGGCGGCGTAAGGCATATTTTCAACGTCCAATTATGCACAGGTGGTCTATGGTTTTTCGTCCTCTTTTTAAAGCCTCAATAATAACATGTCTGCAAATTTTTAGAAGACGCGGATCATCAGCATGCGGATGATAGTTTTTTATTGTTTTACGGCTTATAGTCTTTGAACGGTCGCAATTCGACTTCATATATGTATTACGGATTGATTTTTAAGGGGGGCTTAGTTTTTGTAATAACGAAAACTAAGAGGGGTCTTTGTTTTCGAAATTGTTGCGGAATTCCTTTAACCCCGCTCCGCTGGTTCAAACAAATCAAGAGGACTGTATCTTTCGATGTAGCAACACGATTTAATGCAATCCAACAATCTACTGCGGTGTACAACTCTCATATACTCAACGTTCGTAACACAACGATCAACGTAACTAAACGATCAACGATCAACGATCAACTAAAACTAAAACATTCTAAGTATACAGTGGTTTTTCTACTATCCCTGCGTAAGGCAGTATTTTTACATTAATCACATGTACAGTAAACGTTCCCATTGTAATGTATCTAAATTAAACGTCTATTACAAAATCCCACGTTCTTTCACCTTATTTAGCCTAAGAAAATGCATGCAGTTACATCATTTTATATCGTAAATATACTCGGACTTTGTCTACATTATTGTGAAATCTAATGTCACGAAATCTAACTTCTTTGCGCTACAAATGTCAATTTCTAATTAATATTTAATCACAGAATAATCAAGTTAAGCATCACCTATTTCTTTCCCCGACACACTCCCCCCCTTGACTCGCCTACGAGTCAAGCATTAGTCTCGATTTCCATGTAGAGTCTAAGGCCGCATTTCTAGGAGGGACTCTTCCTGTCGGAATTTCTGTATTCCGGTTGCGTTCGGTAAGTGCTCGTATTCCCTCCCCTTCGCTTCGAAACTCCAACGGATAAAGTTTCTGAACTAGTCTGGAAAGTCGAATCGGTTTTCCCTTCGTAACGACTCTGACAGTAGCTCCTCTAACTACGTTATCTCTGCCTGTCACTAGTCTCTCTACAACTCCCATCTTCCATTCACCCCTTTTCCTTTCTTCCTCGTACACTACAACTACATCTCCTACTTCTACCTCTCTTTCTCTTTTTCCTGACTTACACTTATGAAATTCGCGCAGGTTTGCAAGATACTCTTTTCGCCACCTATTCCAAAAATGACTCAACCTAGTGCTGAGATACTTAAATCTTGCAGAGCAATTATCGATATTAATGGCATCGTCTGGTTCAGCAACCTCGTCTGGAAGTGTTTTGATGCGTCTCCCATAAATCAAGTGTGATGGTGTTAAAACCTCCTCTCCCACTTCATTGTATTCGTACGTCAATGGTCTTGAGTTGAGTGTACATTCTATTTCAGCTAGCAGAGTTGCCAATTCATCGAATGTCAATCTCGCGTTTCCTAGAGTTTTCCTCAGGCATCCCTTCACACTGGCAACCATTCTTTCGAAAAATCCTCCCCACCAGGGTGCCCTTTCTAAATTAAATTTCCATTCAATTCGGTCTCGCTCTAAATCTGCTTTTACTTCTGGATGGTCAAATAATTTCTTAAGCGCCTTCTCTGTTGCCTGAAATGTTTTCGCATTGTCTGAAACGATCAACACAGGCATTCCTCTTTTAGCGATGAACCTTCGCAAACAACGCCTAAACGTTCCTGTAGACAAATCTTATACCAACTCTAAATGCACCGCTCTTGTCACGCAACATGAAAATAACGCAATGTAAGCCTTGCCCATTTGTCCCGATTTTTCCTTTACATAGAGCGGTCCAGCAAAGTCTACCCCTACCCTCGAAAATGGTGGAGCTTCCTTGACTCTAAAATCAGGAAGCGCAGCAGTCGGTGGGGTACTATAGGGTTTCCCAGTAAACCTTCTACAAGTAACACACTCACTCAAAATTCGCTTTACCACTTGCCTACCCCTTGGGACCCAATATCTTGACCTTAACTCAGCTAATGAAGCTCTAACTCCACTATGATGAACTCTCTCATGGCACTCTTCTATGACCAACCTTGTGAATCTATGCTGTCTGGGCAAAATGACTGGTCTCCTGGCTTCACTTTCTAAATCTGAATTAACTAGTCTACCTTCGCATCTCAAAATAGCTCTGTCTTCCTTAATACCAAGCTCGCTAACTAGCTGCTTAAAATTAGTCTGCTGCT